TCCATGACACTAAGTGACCTTTTAAATACACATTGACAATCTGTGGTTTTATGGCGTTTCAGCCACGGGCTAAAGTTAGCAAGAGGTGTTTAGTCAAGGGCTGAAGTTAGTTGACAGTTGTCATACAACACAGTACAACACGATTTTCCTCCCATGAAAAAATTTAACAATTTTAAAAATAAAGTTAAAAAAACGTACCCGTGTCTCGCCGTTTTACGAAATCACGTCATTTAAATTTTTTTAACAGCCATTTTTTATGTTAACCTAAACAGATTTTTCTCTATTTTGTTATAAATCATTTTTTTCTTCAAATATTTTATGTTTTTACATAATACAAAAATTATACGTAAAGAATTTTTTTAAGTAAAAAAAAAATATTTCTGGTTTTAATTTTTAATTTTTTTTTATAAAATATATTAAATATATGTTGGAAACAAATCTTGATCTTTTAGTTTGACGATTATACATTGCTTTCGAATCTATAGTGGTATTACAACCTAAAAACAACACTTGATATACAGGGTTTTCATATTCGGTAAAACCGGAAGTGGCATTTTTTTAAAAATATTTTATAAAAATAAGCTTAATTGGATTTCAAACGTTTTAAAACATCAAATTGATATATTTTGCCGTTCCTCAGAAACTCTGAACCATGAACGTGAAATGTGCAACACCCTGTATTAATGGTTGTCCATTTATTCAGTGAATAATATTTCATAAAAATATACTGTCTAGCTGTTATCGAAGCTGTTATATTATATGGCGAATACCGTTGATAACATTTTATTGGATCGCACAAAAAATGACGTGGTCTGAAAAAACGCCAAGACACGGGAAAAGTCTATTTTCAAAATCTATAGAAATTTTTCTTGGGAGGGAAAAAAATCAAATTTTGTCGTACTGTGTTTATAATCGGTAAAATAAAGTGCCCTTCTTTGTAAAATAATACTAAATGTGAAAATTATTTTATTATCTCAATACAAAAATACAAAAGTATTAAATAGTTTCTTGACGCCAATATTTAAAAAGATTAGGTGAACGTTTATACTGACCTTTTGATTTCGCCGTAGTAGTGCATTTAACTAGGTTTAACTGATAAAGCATTAAAAATCTTGCTTACAGTGCCCATAAATAATTTTCTTCACCTTTACTGTGAACAACTGCTGCTATATGGTATATTTTAAAGGGATTTACACATAAAAATTTCACACTTTAACGCCGGTAGATTTCCAATAAATACAACTGTACTTTTAACATTTCCCGTCTAAGACTTTTTAATACTTTGTAAAACTATATTTGGCAATTATAGTAATAAACAAATTAAATGATAATTGTATACACTCACTTTCAAAAGTCTTGCACCCCCTAATTATTAGGATTATGTTAAATTGTTTCAAAGTTTTAAAAGCCTACTGGTAAATTTTAATAAAAAGCTTACATTAAAAAAAAACAAATTAAAATTGGGATACAAAAATTAAAAAAAAAAAAATTAAACTTTAAACAAAAACTAAAAATAAATGAATACAACAACAAATTAATATTCGGTATTTGAACCTCTGCTTCTTAATAATGCATCAACGCGTTTTGACATTCCAATAATTAAACTATTAATTATTTCTTGCGGAATATTCTCCCACTCCTCCCTAGTGGCAACAATAAGTTCCTGCTAAAATCGTAATCCCATACATGTTGTATGGGATTCATGTCAGGCGACATCGCCAGCCGTTCCATTCTAGTGATAGCTTGGTTTTCTAAGACTTCTTGAACACCTCTGGTACGATGTGGCCTGGCATTGTCGTCCATAAGGATAAACTGGTCCCCTAATTCATTACGTAGGGGTGTAATGATAGGATTTTTGACGTTTTGCAGGTAGTATGCGCCTGTCATTGTCCGAGGTATATGAATAAGTGGAGTTTTTCTTTTGAACATGATACCTCCCAAAAACATTTGCGTACCACCGCGATAAGGAGCAACTCCAATGGCTGATTCCAGTCTATTTATGCGTCCTGCTTCCCTCCAAACTCTTACTCGGTAATCATCACTCACTAACCCAAACCTCGATTCATCTGTAGCACGTTCTTCCATTCAGCTAAACGCCAGTTTTGATGAATTCTGGCCCACTTCAAGAGTTAGCAAGGGAACTCTTAAAGGCCTTCTGGACCGCAATCCTGAAGCTAAAATCCTTCTACGGATTGTAGTACTCGAAATCACCCTGTCATACGTTCTCTGGAACTGATGTTTTAGAGCCGGTACGGTGACTGACCGATTTCTACGGGCTGATTGGGCAATATATCGATCTTCACGTATTGTAGTAACACGAGGTCTACCATTTCTAGGTCTATTTTGCACTTCACCAGTTTCTTAATACCGTCTTCTTGTTCTGCTAACTGTGCTAACAATATTCATTCTATTGGCTATTTGGTGTCGATATAGCCCTTCTTGCCACAAAGCAATAATTCTAGCTCTATTAAACTCAGACATCTCGTTTCTAGGCATATTACACCTTTATTGAACTAATTCGTACTATACAATAAATAGCATGAATTTTTTACCACATCAGAATTTTATTACTTTAACATTTTTTATTTTGGATTTTTTTATGGTATTTAGTTATATTTAAGTTGCTTTTTTTATTAATAGAAATATTTTGTACCTATTTATTTTATATTTAAAATACGAGGGGGGGTGCAAGACTTTTGAAAGTGAGTGTATTATGTATCAAGTTTTATAAACGCAATTTTAGTTACGAGTTTTATTAGACACGAACCAAGCTTGCGAGCGAGTATATAATAAAACGATGTCTAGAGAAGTTTATAAAACGAGTTTCATACTGTACTTTATCTACGGCGAACAGAAATAAAAATTTAAAGCCAATTTTAATTTATAAATTTTTGACATTTGACAAATTTAACCTCACTTTTTCGCTATGAAATTGGAGAAAATTTTAAAACACTTAAATTCCAACATGTATAAATGGCTTAAAGATGGCGACGAAGGTAGACGTGTCATACTTGAGCTCCGTTTTGAAAAGGCTAACTAAAGAAGAGCTAATCTCAATTATTGTCAAGAAGGCGATTACCACGGAAAGTGTAACGAGCATGGTTGTGCATCTTTAGTAAAGATGCACAAAGATTCTTTACTGTACAAAAGGTTGTCCGCTGGGAAGTTTTGACTACACTCGCCAGAGGCGCTAATGTCGCCAAAGTTGTTTTTGTCACCGAGACTACCGTTGTCTTAATGACAGTTTTTATAATAATTATAATTAGACATGAGCTTTTCAAAAATAACTTCATTTTGTAAACTTTTAAGTGTGTTTTAAATTTGTGAAGTCCTTATAACCTTTTAAGTTTATATTGTGTAACATATTAATTATTATGGTTTATTCATGTTGTGAACGAAAGTGCAAAAGCAGGGGAGATAGGGTAAAAATGCATCGATTTCCCAAAAACGATGAGGTATGTCTAGTTTTTTATATTATTTTTAATCTTATGTAAGGATACCTATATCTAGGCTTTATCTATAATTTTGAAAAAATATTTTAGAAAATTATAACCATTCTTTAAAATGCATTTTTGTAATAATATTTCAACTATGGAACAAAATATGGTTATAATAAATTATAAAATATTCTCAAAAAAAAAAAAATCATTTTAAACTTAAAAATGATTTTATAAAATAATTTTTAAAATGGTAAATTTTCTTAATCTTACCGATTTAATTAGGTATTATAGCTATAACACTTATTGCTAATTCTTGTTTAGGTGTTTAAGATATGGCTGCAAAAAATGTGCAATTCAGTTTTGTTAACAGAAGATCCAAAGCTGGTTAGGAAAAACTACAGAGTGTGCGATATACATTTCGACAATAATTCTCGCATACATGGACGCTGTGCTTCTAATTTAAAATTAGATAGCATTCCTACTCTATATTTATCAGACTTTGCCCTAGAAGGTATACCTTATTCTTAAGTTATTATGCTTGTGGACATTGGATGTTTAAACATAACTAGTTACAGAATAATATTATTAAGTGTAATAAGGAAGTCATTTTTTAAATAGGCAGCGCAAAGGATAACAACCAGGATGAGAAAAGTTGTAGAAATATGGCTAATGTATTGGTTGACAACTTTGATCAAAGACCGAGTGCAGGTTCTTCAAATGAAAGCTCTACTTTGCGATATCCAGTAAAAAGATTGAGATTATCTGATGAACAGATTCGCCATGTCCCATTTAAGGATGTTTCTAATTATGTTTTGCAAACTCAAACATCCATGTCTATATCTACTAGTAAAAAACGTCAAGGTAAGATCAATATTATGATGTTTAATACCGAAAAATAAGTCAACTTTAACTATTAACAACATATGTGATCATTAAAAGAGTTTGTTACATAGCATTAATGTTAAATATTACACATCCCTTAGTTATTTTATTAAATTGCAGATTTGTCAAAAAGAAAACTTCTTCATTCTATAAATGTTTGAAAAGTGAGTGAGCTTAGCCCACAAGCAAGAAAACTGCATAAAATAGCAAGCTCAATCAAAAAAACTGCAATAAGAATGAAAAGAAGGGTATTGGATGGAAAAAGACGTTTGAAAGAAGCGTATAAGTTTGCCGAATCTGGTGAATACACATGAACAGACATTTAACTTTGTTATGTCTCAGCTAAAGCAGCAAAAAATTGCTCCAAAAGGATGAAGATATTCATTGGATGACAAAATTTTTGCCTTAGGATTACTAAAGCAAAGTCCTAAGGGTTATAAGATGCTTAAAAAAACGTTTGCATTGCCAAGTAGAAAGACTTTAACCAATTTGCTTAGTCGTGTACCCTTTAGAACTGGCATTAACAATGTAATTTTTAAACAGTTACAAAAGACAGTGTCTAAAATGAAAAAATTAGACAAATACTGTACGATTATTTTTGATGAAATATCCCTAGATGCATCTGTTCAGTACAATCTTGGACTAGATATGATGGATGGTTTTGAAGACAATGGAGGTGAAAACAGAAGTCAGCGGTTAGCAGATAAAGCTATGGTATTTATGGCAAGAGGCATTCATAAAAAATGGAAACAACCATTGGCCTATTACTTTAATAGTGGTGGCATAAAATCTGCAGTCCTGACAAAAGCAATAAAAGATGTGATACGTGCTACAAGATAATCTGGATTAAAAGTGGTTGCCACAGTTTGTGACCAGGGTGGCCCAAACAGAGCGGCAATAAACTGTCTGTATGAAGAGACAAAGAGAAATTTTGCATTGCAGGAGAAAGAAAATCATGGTTTTGGTTTTTTTATTGATGATGAAGAAGTTGTTCCTTTATTGATCCACCTCATCTGTTAAAGTGCATGAGAAATAATCTTTTTGAACGTAATTGTATATTTACTGGGACTACAGGAGAAATGACTGCAAAGTGGGAACATTTAAGAAAACTATACAACCTTGATTCCAATGACGATACAGATTATAAGATGTTACAAAAACTTTCTGAGCAACATATTAACAACTTAAAGAAAATGAAGGTATCCATGGCTGCTCAAATATTTAGTAGACGAGTTGCAGCACTACTAAAAGGACTAGCACGATTAGGTAATTTTTTTTACATTATATTTATATTTTGTCTACAAACAAAATTATGCAGCTTTACATAATAACAATTTATTTTGATTTTTTAGCTTCAAATGAAGATATGCCTTCCGAGGCGAGTGAAACAGCAGAATTTATTTTGTTCATGAACAAATGTTTTGACAGTCTGAACGGTGTTAAGGTTAACAATTCAAATGAAGAAAATTACCTTCGATGTGCTGTTGATGAAGATTCCCCCCACATGGCATTTTGGATAGAGGCTATAAAGACTTTACAATCAGTTAAATTTATTAAAAGTAATAGTACAAAGTATGTACCTCCTTCGGTAAAAAACTATATCCATACGTTAAAAGGGTTTAGGTATCTCTGGCCAAAATTAAAAGATGATGGTTTTAAATTCCTCTCCATAAGAAATTTTAATCAGGACCCTTTAGAAAATTATTTTGGCAGTATAAGAAGTCATGGTGTAAGAAATATCAATCCAACGTGTCAATCATTTATTAATTCATTCAAGGCATTGTTAATAAACAATTTTCTCTCAACACATTCCCCGGGTTCAAATTGTGAAAATGATGAAGCTGTAGCACTAGATTCCTTAAGAGATTTTTTTTCTAAATCAAGAGATGAAATTTTACCTCTATTACAAGTGCCAGATTTATCTATACCTGATCAGTTACCACAAAATAATCCACCACTAATAAGTAGAGGTACCTCGGCTTATATTGCAGGTTATATTGCCAAAAAAATATTTAAAACTAATAATTGTGCAAAATGCAAAAGCGATTTATTGGGAAATAAAGAAGAACTTAACCAAAAAGATCAATTTATTATTAAAAGTCGCCAATTTAAAAAAAAAAATAGTTTATCCATCGCATAATTTTAAAATATTTTATCAAAGAACTATTAATATTCTTTCAGATATTTTGCCTAAGCTATGTTATAAAGAAAACATCAAGTCAATTTTAAACATTATTTTATCCCAAAATATTGCAAATTATTTTACATGCGATCAACATAATATATTTAATAATGTTATTAATAAAATATGTTATTTTCACATATTGACATGGTCAAAAAATGTTAATAAAATATTAAAAGGCAAAGCTGAAAATGTTTTATCCAAAGATCCCACCAAAATAGAAGCAACAAAAAGATATCAAATTCACAAAAAAGTTTCCAAAAAAATACGAGACATGAAAAATTTGCAATAATTTTGTAATATACATATATTTACATATATCAAGTACAATTTAGAGTAATAAGTTTTTTATAACCAGGTATTTTAATGTTTAGCCAATATCTTGGGCTTCTACAAATTAGAGTTGGAAAAACTTTCATCAAACTCAGTGTCCGCCAGTATCTTGTAGGTTAAAGAAGAATGACGCAAAATATAATTTCAATTTCAAACTGTTAAAATTAAAATCGTACCTGATTCTTCACAACCAATTATGTATTATGTTCTTCTTCTTATTCCTTGGTGCATTTTATCTACGAGATACACAAAATGTTTTTGTCCTATATTATACTGGGAAACACTGTAAACTTACTGATAGTGATATTTATAGATATACATATTTCTATAGCGTTTGAAACCGGACTGTGTTGAGAATTTTTTTTCCTATGCAAAATTACAATTATTTAAGTTGTAATGTATTTAATGTTTTAACTTAAAGCCCGTTTCATATAGATGCTACCTACGCCATTTATGGTTATTTAGTTTGTATCGTAGTGTTTGTTTTGGTGACTTTTATTCGAACTGTTTAAATAAGCGTTTGAAGTTTTTTTGACCAAAGAGTTTTTTGAGGTACATTAATATTTCCTATTTTACCTTTATAGTCACTTTAAGTAAATATCGGCTAGTGAGAAAACAATATCCATAAAATAGTTCGCATCTATATATAGGAGTTGCGAAATGCAAATATTCGTATTTCGCAATTTGCAATTCGCATCTATATGAAACGGTCTTAACTTGTTAAACAAAAATAAACTAGCATCATTATAATTTTTACTTTTAACTTAGAAAGGTTTTAGAGGTTTAAACTTGCTATGATATTGGCTTTATTGAAAACAATATTTTATGCCATTTGTGTAAATATAATTTTGGGTATATGGGCGCCGTGGCGACATATAGCGATTGCAAAGGATAACCGATAAAAAAAATTAAAAATCGACCTGTAGTTAACCAAGGATCATCATTCCAAAGAATTGCGCATAATATAGAAATTGAAACGCGTGTATTTTTAAGAGTTTTGCACTAATGCAATATATACAACTTTAAAGTGTAATAAATCCCATTTATTTTTTTAAAACACTGATTTTCCTGTAATATAAACTCAATAGAATCGCTCAATTGACAGGTTTAGACCAACAAATTATAAATGTTAATTTTATCGAGCGCGAAAAAGGGCTAAAGTCACCCGCGGGGTGCAAAGTCACCCGTGTTTACGGTATTTGTTTTATTTTATTTTAGTTTAAACCTCTAAAACCACCCTATACTTGTATTTTTGTGCCTTGGTTCTAAAAGCCAACAAAATGTGTTTTTAATCCAGTTATAATTATTATTGTTAATAGACTCTAATTTGAAAATGTAAATTTGCCTCTAAGCAGTAAGTCTTGAAATTTGTATAGTTTTTAATTTTTATAAATATATTTTACCTTATAAATTAATTAGATTAGAAATGAAATAATTAGATAAACTTATTTGCCTCTATTAGATATGTTTATAGTTAATTGACTGATGTAGAGTAATTTTAAGTTGTGTTTTGAACATTTGCGTCTATATCTATTTAACTTTGGAAAATAAAATAATAATTATAAAAATGTAGTTTTATTATTCCTCTTTTAACTTTCACTAGAAAAATATTAAAATTATTTATATATTGGAGATAACAAAAGAATACAATTCAGCCACCAATAATTTCAATATCTCTTTTTGACTACACCCGCTAGATGGCGCAGTAGTCACGGAACAAAACTTTAATACTAAGTTGCCTATCTAACTAAACCCCCCCCACCCAACTTATCCCTTATCTATGGTAACGACTAACGAGCTTGACTGATGGTACACTGATCAAGTTAAAGGAAAACCTGGAGGTGCACTTTAAAAGTCCGTTAGACGCCGAGGTCAGTAACCTTGAACTAAAAACACCTGAAAAATGCGAAGATCCTGTGGAAACTGGCTCTATTTTATCCAAAATGTTAAAGCATCTGGAAGATAGGGTTCAAGAACAATCGCAGGTAATAAAACATCTTATATCCCAAGAAAAAGAGAAAAGTGAGGTTAAGAAGTCATTGCCGTCTTCTTCTTCCTCTAATCTTGCCCCGAAAAAGCAAGAAAGATTAAAGAGTAGTTCCAATGCACCGAGTACATCTGGCAACACTGCAAACCCCACGGTCGATAAAGAAGAATTCATAAATGTCAAAAACAAAAATGATTCTAATGGAGTCATTCCAAATAAAAACACCAAATGGGGTGCGCTGCGTGATTTTTTATTTTGATGAAAAAATTTGAGGATGATCTTTTAGGTGTCAAATATGAAAATCCGTTGCCGTTTTAATTTTTTGTTGCTTTACTTTTATTTGGCACCCCTTAGAAGTCTGAAATAGTGTCAATTTCTTACTCTCTTATAGTGGGCCAGAACTTTTTTTCTGTGATAAATATTGAAATAATTTTAATTTTGCTATACTGTCCAGTAAGTGTGTTTTCGATATAAATTATTTTTATCCAATTAGTTAATCTCATAAAAGAATGGTAAACCACTAAAGATTCATGATAATTTGCCAATTTTTGTGATTTTTGTCTGGCTCCTGTGCCCATTCTACTGAATTTAGAAGGTTCATTATTTTCAGGAATAAAGTACTTATACAATAGAAAACGTAACTATTATTTTAAGTTTCTAGACTATCAATTTCTTTATTAAAAAAATTATTGAAAATTGATAATTCTCAAAATTAGCCAATTTTGCCCTCAGAAATCATTATGTTGAGGAAAAAATAAAAATCTGAAACTTTCAGGAAATGTAGTCCCCATCTTCATCTTTTCAATCCAGTTAGTCTTGTTTTGTTATTTTTATTCCTTTAAAAGATATATTAATTTTTTTAATGGCCGTTTAGTAGCGATATTGTTAGTTTTATTTATAATTTAAAATTTAGATGGCTTTCATGTTTGGTGGAGAAGTGTCAGAACTGTAAAAAATATTTCATAAATATTATTTGTGCGTATTTCTTTGGTAAATTTTGTATATAACATAATATGTAATATTATGTTATATATAAAACTTTTTAAAATCACCAAAGGAATACCACAAATAATAATTATGAAATATTTTTGAGAGTTCTGATATTTCTGGTAGTTATGTTATATTTTATGTATTGAAAAATCATATATATATATATATATATATATATATATATATATATATATATATATATATATATGTATATGATTATATATTATATTATAATATATACATTATAATGAAGTATTTAATTGGCTAATTGGTGTTTAAAGAAGAAGAATGTAAAAAATATATTTAGGATCCTTATGGTTTATATCGTTTAAGTATATATAATAAGTGAAATTAATAAAGAGTTAATTTAAACGTATAAAAAATACGTTAAGCAGTTTTTTGTCGGTTTCTTTCACAATTTAAACCAAGTTAGTCTTGTTCTATTATTTTGATCCCTTTAGTAAGGCACTAAATAGTTAAAAGTTAAATGTATGTATTTTAAATGTTAGTGTTGGAAAAAATTTACACAATCTGTAAATACTTCTTTAAATTTTAGTTTTTAGGTAACTGGATAAAATAAAACATGTTATAATAAAGGGGTTTATTTAGAATATTTGTTGGTTTTTGTTTATTTTTAACAATTTAAAACTTCTCAGAACTTAAATATTTTTTATAAGAAAGAGGTACAAAATTATGATATGTTCTTGCATTTTTAATTGCAATTAAATTCATGAATCTCGAACACTTCGTCATTTATTACACTTGCAAACTTGCAAACTTTTTGAAATCACAATTTAAATACACACAAATAAAATTTATGAAATATTTTTGACAGCTCTGACATTTCTCTACCAAACATGAATTGACAAAGTCAAAGCCATCTAAATTTTAAATTATAAATAAAACTAACAATATCGCTACTAAACGGGCATTAAAAAAATTAATATATCTTTTAAAGGAACAAAAATAACAAAACAAGACTAACAGGACTGAAAAGATGAAGGTGGGGACTACATTTCCTGAAAGATTCAGATTTTTATTTTTTCCTCAACATAATGATTTCTGAGGGCAAAATTGGCTAATTTTGAGAATTATCAATTTTCAATAATTTTTTTAATAAAGAAATTGATAGTCTAGAAACTTAAAATAATGGTTACGTTTTCTATTGTATAAGTATTTTATACCTGAAAAAAAATGAACCTTCTAAATTCAGTAGAATATGCACAGGAGCCAGACAAAAATCACAAAAATTGGCAAATTATCATGAATCTTTAGTGGTTTACCATTCTTTTATGGGATTATCTAATTGGATAATAATAATTTATATCGAAAACACACTTACTGAACAGTAAAACAAAATTAAAATTATTTCAATATTTGTCACAGAAAAAAAGTTCTGGCCCACTATAAGAGAGTAAGAAATTGACACTATTTCAGACTTCTAAGGGGTGCCAAATAAAAGTTAAGCAACAAAAAATTAAAACGGCAACGGATTTTCAAATTTGACACCTAAAAGATCATCCTCAAATTTTTTCATTACAATAAAAAATCATGCAGCGCACTTTTAAATTCATTTTTGGTGTTTTCATTTGGATTGACTCAATGGTAAACAAAAAGGCACAACAATCATAAAAGGCACGGCAAAAAGCGAAGAACAAGACGAATTTCAAGCTACAGCAAAAAAAGCTTGGCTTTATATTGGCCGGGCACATCCAAGTACAAGTGAAGAAAAATTAAACAATTACTTAAAGAAAAAGTTTCCTCAAAAGATGTTTGAAGTGGAAGAGATCAAAAAACATGAAAGCAACACAAACAAAAATAAATCGTTTAAAGTAAATTTTGATTTTGGCTTGCTAGAAGCGGTAATGAAACCAGAAGTTTGGCCACAAAATCTTATTGTGAGAAAATATACCTTTCGAAGGCAGGGAAGGGAATCTGAATTATAAAAAAAATAACCTAAATGAAAAAATAGAAAACAAAAAGTTTATGTCCTTACTAAATGTAAATATACAGTCAATCACAAACAAAATTGATCAGTAGCTAAACAATCTATTTTTTGAATTGGACATGGATATTGTATGCATTTGTGAGCACTGGTTAAATAAAAGTACAATCAAATATTTTAAAGTAAAAAATTACAATGTTGCCTCCATATAATAATAATAATAATAATATAATAATAATAAGTTTATTTTCAAAAACAACTAAGGTTGTACAGAAAAATAGGCAATTCCTTACAATATTAATAAAAGAATATGCATATAACCTTATAAATAAAATAAAGTAAAATAAGTGCAAATTAAATATTAATTAGCTAAGAATTTATGAAAATTTCTTATGAAACACTAGTTACCTAATCCACACTAAAAATCATCATTCAAGAATTCATGATATGAGTAATACGATTTGGTAATAAGAAGTTGTTTTAATGAAGATTTGAAATTTCTTAAATTTTGAGATCTAATGTGAACAGGCAACTTATTGTAAAATTTTGGGCCTAAATACAGAATACTCTTTTGGAATAAACTGGTGTTATTTGCCTCGTATATGATTAAACCATTTTGTCTCGTGTTTGAGTTAAAAAAACTAAAATCACTTTTATTCTTATAAAGAAAAACTAAACATTCAAAAATAAACAAGGAGGGAAACGTCAAAATGTTGTTTAAATTAAAATATTCTTTACAACTTTCCCTTTTTTTTAAACCTAAAATTATTCTTAAGGCGAATTTTTGCAAAATAAATACTTTAGATGAGACTATTGAGGAGCCCCAGTATATTAAGCCATATCTTAATCTACTTTCAAAATAACTAAAATAAACCATTTTCAGCGTATCCATACTAATTCCCTTAAGTTTTAATACTCATAGACAATAACACGCTGATCTTAAAGAGTTACACAAGGAGTTAACGTTGTCTTTCCAGTTCAGTGCCGAGTCAATAATTATACCTAGAGATTTAATTTTACTTTCGTAGTTGATATTATAATTTAGAATGGGGTGTTCTGCGTTGGTATTTCTTTGTTGAAAGTATATACATTTGGTTTTTTCAAAATTTATTTTTATTTTATTTAGAGTGCACCAAGTTTGTATTTTGTCAATTGTATTATTAATTAGATGTTTTTGAGTCAAGAAAAAGGTATCATCTGCAAACATGGTTGTTGATGCGGTTGAAACATTGGAAGGCAAATCATTAATATAAAGTAGGAACAGGAATGGACCTAAAATTGAACCTTGAGGGACCCCTGCTGAGGTTTCACCCCACTCCGAGTAGACGCTGCTTGATCCCGTTGTTATTTTAGTCCTTTGAAGCCTATGTTTGAGGTAAGACTCAAACCAAAGAAGTGCTGTTCCTCTTATTCCATAGTGCTCAAGTTTCAGAAGTAATATGTCAAAGTTTACACTATCAAAAGCTTTTCTAAAATCGCATGAAAGACCATATATATTTGATTTTTTGTCTAAATGTTTAATAATATCTTTTGTTATGTTGAATAGGGCAGAGTTTGTGGACCTACTTTTTAAAAAACCATGCTGATATGGACTAAGTATGTTAGAGTTTTTAATAAAATTCTCTACACGGACATACATTACTTTTTCAACAATTTTTGATGTCATTATCAAGAGTGATATGGGTCTAAAGTTGTTACATTCATAACTATAGCATCCTTTAAAAATAGGACACACATCAGATTTTTTTAGGCAATCAGGAAAAATTCCTTCCTCAAATGATTTGTTGATTAAATCAGCAAGTTTATCCGCCACCAAAACAATAATTTTTTTAAATATAAAAGAGGGTATTTGGTCCCATCCACAAGAGAAACTATTTTTTATGCAAGTTGTTAAGTTTATTATTTCCGTTCCTGTCGTGGGACCAATAAAAAAACTTTTATTGTTGGCTGGGCAGGAATTCTTCATAAAATCTCTAATTTTAGAGATTTCAGTTTTAATTTTATTTTGCTGTACTATACTTAAAAAATATGTATTTAAGTTGTTCACGATTTCCCTAGCATCGCTTATTATGGTTCCATCCTTATCAAGCTTAATCACATTTTTTGATTTACTCTCTGTCTCTTCCTTAACTATATTCCAAATAGATTTGATTTTATTATCACTGTTTTTTATTTTGTTTTCGTATGTTATTTGCTTAGCTTTTTTAATAACTTTGATGTAAATTTTACAATAATTTTTAATGTGACATTTCTTTGCCCTGAAGATATAAAGGTTTTATGTTGCTTAACAAAGATAGCAGTAATCTTTTGTTTTTTGATGATTGTCTGATTCCTTTACTTAACCATGATTTTTGTTTGACTTTAACTTTTTTAAGTGGAAAACAATTTTCAAATGAGCTGCTGCAGATATTTGAGAATTCTAAAAATTGTTATAAATTAGTTTTTGATTAATTTCATTAATAAATCTGTTGATGTTTAAGGTAGAATAAATGCGTTTGGTTATGTATGAGTTGATGTTATTTGTTTTTGGTACTTGCACCGATAATGTTTGCTCTTTGCGATCAGAAAGTCCAGTTTCTGATATTAATGTTCTATATTCTGTAAGGTTTGTAAAAATATTATCGATGCAGGTACTACTATTTTGACTTATACGGGTGGGAGTGTGTACTGTTTGAGTTAAATTAAAAGTAGATAACAGAGTTAATAGTTGGGCACAGTCTCAACTTTCAGTTAAAAAATCAACATTAAAATCGCCACAAAGAATAATTTTATTATATGGTTTAGAGAATACCTGAGACAATAGTAACTCCAATCCTAATATAAATTTTTGGAAGTCACCTGAAGGAGAACGGTAAAGACAAATAACATAATTTTTTTCATGCTTAACTATACTTAATTCAATATCTTTTTCAGATATTAAGTAATTATACTTATCAATATTTTTGCATTTTGACTGCAGAACAAATAAAATACATGGAGGTGTATTAGTACTAGCAAAAAATAATTTGGAATTCAAGGAAATTGAAGAAGTAAAAAACATGAGTGTGGAACAACAAATTGAAATAGTAGCACTTGAAGTACCCGAAAAAAAATGTGTAATATTAACTATTTACAGATCACCTGAAGGTAATGTAAACACCTTTTTATGTACATTAAATGAAGCACTTCACACAATAACAAACAGGTATACTAAAAAGAAGTACAATTTTTTCTTGACTGGAGATTTTAACATTAACTTTAATGAAGACTCTTTAAACAAAAAAACCTTATGTGATTTATTAAATAGTTTCTCTTTAAATCCAAAAATAAATCAAAGCACCAGAATTGTTACAAAAGCATGCATTGACAATATAATAACAAATATAACACAAAATTTTGAATGTTTTAATAAAAATTTACATCTTGGGGATCATAAAGCTCAGGGAATAATTTGTTATGCAGAAAAAAAAGAAAATAAAATTAATTACAAATACATAAAAACATGAAACATAAATGAACATAATACCAATCTTTGTATCAATAAAATTGCTGGTTATTTATGAAACCAACTCCTTAAGCAACTAAATGCAGAAGAAGCTTTTAATTACTTTTATCAAAAGCTAATAAGTGAGTATGACACTTTTTTTCCTGAAAAAGAAAGAAAAATAAAAATTGGAAAAAATCAAAAACCTAAAAACCCAGAAATACAAAAAATGAAAAAAACCTTGGAAGCTTTAAGCATTGTCGCAAAAATAAGGAAAGATCAAGAATCTCAAAGAGCATATAACATCTACAAAAACTGGTATCGAAAATAACTAGAAGCTGCAAATAGAGAAGCAAACTCCTGCTCTATAATTAATGGAGATAAGAAACAAAGAGCAATTTGAACAGCTATAAATAAAGAAACTAAAAAAGCTAGCATCATAAAAGAGGGGGAAAAGTTAACAGCTGAAAAATTGAATTCTTTTTTTTCCCAAATTGGAAGAGCAACCCAGGAGGAAATCAACAAAGGTAAACAGCCCCCCAGCTACTTTTTTAACAAGACCAACGAAAACCATCCACATTCATGTTTTTTTAAACCAATTACAGAAAATGAAATAATATTGATTGTAAGGGGACTGAAAAATAAAAACACAAAAGACATTGATGGGATTTCTACGGCATTTCTTAAAACTATTTTGCCAGCAATAACAACTCCCATTGAAATAGTATTTAACAAGTGCTTACATGAGGGTATCTTTCCAGATAAGCTTAAAAAGGCAATAGGCAATGTGGAAGCTATAGACCCATTTCTATTCTGCCTAGTATGTCAAAAATCCTTGAAATAGTAATAAAAAACAGAATTTTGGAGTTCTTCGAGAAAAATCAACTGTTTAGTCCAAAACAGCATGGATACAGAAAAAATAAATCTACAACAACTGCCTTACTTGATGTTATAAATACTGTTATTAGTAGTTATGATGAAGAGCTGCTGACACAGCTCATCTGCTGTGACCTAAGTAAAGCTTTTGATACTGTTGATCACAGAATACTTTTGGAAAAATTATACTTTTATGGCATCAGAGGACCTCCACATGAAATGCTTCAGTCATATCTCAAAAATCGAGTGCAAATGGTAAAGTGGAAGGAAAAGTTTTCTTCCTGTCTAAACATAAACATAGGAGTACCACAGGGATCAGTACTTGGGCCTGTGCTATTCATCATTTACATGAATGATCTACCCCCATGTGTTAAAGCTACAAATACTTGCTTATATGCAGATGACACCTCATTGCTGGTGACTGGACCCACAGAAAAAAACATCATTCAGAAAAGTAAAAACATCATGGAAAATATGCAAGAATGGTTTAATGCAAACAAACTTAAGCTCAATAAAGACAAAACAAAATTCCTTAAATTTTCAAATAGAACTGAATTACCATGTAAGTCTATTCAGTTTTTTGGACTTTGGGTTGACAGCAGGCTAAACTGGGCCAAACAAATTGAAAATCTTGCAAACAAACTAAGCTCTGCAATATATGC